GCACTGCGGGGGCGCGGCTGCGGGCTGGGCCCGCTCCTCCAGGCCCTGGGCGAGCCCCGGCCGCCGCCTCAGCTCGGGCCGCTGCTCTGCAACCTCAGCCAGCTGCCCGAGGGCCGCCGCGGGCTCCTCGACCGCTCCCGGTACGGCTCCGGGGTGTGTGTTGGGGGGGTGTTTCCCCCTCCCGGTGTGTCCCCCCCGTCCCGATGTGACCGTCCTTCTTCCCGCAGGCGCTCGGTGCAGCGGCTCCTGCCCTTCACGCAGTACAAGGACTCCACTGTCCATCGCCGGGGCATCGTGGGGGCTCTCAGGAACTGCTGCTTCGAGTACGGTGAGACACCCCCTTCCCCTCCCCCGGCACCGGCCCATTCCCCAGTTCTCGCCGCGTTTATCTCGCCCCCTCGCCATGAGGTTTTGTGGGGAGGGGGCTGGCCGGTGGCTCTTCTGACCCCCCCGTCTGTCGCCCAGAGGACCACGAGTGGCTGCTGAGCGAGGAGGTGGACATCCTGCCCTTCCTCCTCCTGCCTCTGGCCGGCCCCGAGGAGTTCCCCGAGGATGAGATGGAGAGTAAGTTGGGGGGTCAGAGCGGGTGGGGGGCTGCTGGCTGTTTGCCCCCCCAGTTCTGAGGCTGCCTCTCCCCCAGGGCTGCCCCTGGACCTGCAGTACCTGCCCCCGGACAAGCAGCGGGAGGAAGAGCCCGACATCCGGAAGATGCTGCTGGAGGCCATCATGCTGGTGGGTCCTGTGGTGGGAGCGACAGTGGGGCTGAGGGGGGGCTTGGAAGGTGGGGGATCCTCACGGAGGAGCGGTGGGGGCTGGACAAGCATCAGGGACACCTCCCACCAGCCCAGGCTGCTCCAAGCCCCCTCCAACCTGGCCTTGAACCCCTCCAGGGATGGGGCAGCCACAGCTTCTCTGGGCAACCTGGGCCAGGCTCTCACCACCCTCAGGGGAAGAATTTCCTCCCCAGATCTCACCTAAGTCTCCCCTTTTTCAGCTTAAAACTCTTCCCCCTCGTCCTATGGCTCCCCTCCTTCATCAAGAGTCCCTCCCCAGGGCACACACTCCCTAAACACACCTCTTCTCCCACATTTGCCCCCTCCCCTCTTTCAAAACCAAAGCTGAGGAGGCATCTGAGACCACTCGGGCTCCGTGACGCCAACTTTTTGGGGGAAATCGGTTCCTTCCCCCCACTTTTAGGAGGCTGGGGGAAGCCCTTCCCCACACACTCAAGAATCCCCCCCCAGGTTTCCTGGAGCCCCTTTAGGGACTGGATGGGGCCACCATAAGGACATGGGGGGGCTTTTTGGGCTGCTAACCCATGGCCAACTTTTCCCTTCCAATCTGCTCTCCCATCCCTCCATCCCCAGCCCTGGGCCGGGACCACCGGGGGTTTCCCCACCCACCCAAGGGGCAGGATCTCCCCCCAGCTGGTTGGGGGGTGACTTTCTGCCCCCCTGCCCACGCTGCCTCTTTCTGCCCCTCACAGCTCACGGCCACCAAGCCCGGGCGGCACGTGGTGCGGGAGAGGGGCACGTACCTGGTGCTGCGGGAGCTGCACGGCTGGGAGCAGGACCCCCTCGTCCTGGCTGCCTGCGAGAACCTCATCCAGGTGGGACAGGGAATCCCCAGGGGGTGGCCACTGGGTCCCCGGGGAGGGGGGTGGTGGTAGTGAGAGGGGGGTCCCACTGTCCTGTCACCCCTCCCTCCCGGGAAAAGGTGCTGATCGGGGAGGAGCCGGGGCCAGGGATGGAGAACCTGCTGGAGGTGACAGTCCCCGAGGAGGTGGAGCGGGAGCTGCAGCGGCGGGACCGGGAGGAGGAGGAGCGGTGGCGGAGGGAGCGGGAGGAGGAAGAGGAGGAGGAGGAGGGGGGATCGACCCCCAGCCCCCAGGAGTCCCCCCAGTGAGGGGCACAGCCCTGTTTCCCCCCCACTCCGGGGACTGGCCACCAGTGAGGTGGCACCTGGGACTCCTGCTGATAGTGACACTGGTGTAGGGTGGTCCTGCGGGGCAGGGAGCCCCCCCTCACCAGGTACAAGGACAAAATGGGGCGGGGGGGAAACTGGGGAAGGGGCTGCTGCTCCCCACCTGGCGCTGTGGGGCTGCCCCATGGCTTGGGGGGGGGCTTTTCTGAGGGCTGGGCCCCCAGCGATGTGCCTTGTGAAATAAAAGGTTTCCAACCCAAAATTGCTGTGCCCCGAGGAGGGGGGGGGGTGTGGGCTAAGGGCCCACTGTGGGGCTGCCCCCCCTGCCATGTATGGGGCACCTGGG